GTTAAGCCACTTGCATGGGCTAGGGCCCTGTGGCAACCCACAGAAGCGTACTCAGACAGCTCAAGTGAGGAAGCTACAAATACTGCACTGTCTTCTGCACCCACAGGCAGGCAAGCTTGACGAAGGTACGAGAACTCCAGGCAAGTGTGGTGCAGACAGAGGTTTGTCCCTTGCCCTCAACCCCCACCATCCCCTCTGCAGACTCTTTTTTTCCCACACTATCCATGTAGTAGGGGACATGGCTGCTCATCACCTCCCACTTATTGTCAGGATTGCAGTCCCCAGAGAAGTCTGGGCAAGGAGTATCTTGGTCTCATATCCAGGTTCTGGGGAAAGGGCAGGTCCCCTGCAGCTGGTCAGGACCTACTTTGGGATAAGCCAGGAGCTTGGAAGCAAACTGGTTCACAAAGGGCTGCTGGGCTGCACTACCTGGAGAAGGAAGTTAGCAGAGGTGAGACACGTGTCACTTGGAGCACAATGTCACAGGCTGGTGGGCAAAGGTTGCACAGGACAAAGCTGCTTCAAACCTGGGAGGCAGCCACCCCTCGGCCTTAAAACTACCCACAGATGGTACCCTCTTTTGCATCCTCCTTTACTCCTCCACCTCTGGGTCAGCCTTGTCCAGTCCTTTCCCCCTGTCTCTCCAGAGGGAGGCCAGGAGGGGTCCTGAATAGAGCAGGATTTAGGAAGAAAATGAGATTTTTTTTCCATGCAAATGACAGAAACACCTTGAATGAAACTATGCAAAAAACAAATTCTCACCAGGAGGGCAGAGCAGAATAGATTAATGATTAGGACTAGCATCTCTGAGCCAGTTAATGGGGTGTGAGTCTCGATTCCATCTTCCAGGTTATATCAGGAACTTCTTTATGCCTCAGTTCTCTCATTTGTAAAATGGGAGTGTAAGCATTGCTGTGAGATTTAGGGTTGTCATGAGCTCATTCATGCAATGCAGAGAGGAAACGCCTAATGCATCGCAGACGCTCAAATAAATATAAGCTATAGGCCTGGGCATGTAGATCAGTGGTAGAGAGCTTGCTTGCCCAGCATGTGTGAAGCCCTGGGTTCAAGCCAGGGCACTAAAAATAAAATGCTTTTGTTTAATTTAGTTCAGCCCAGAAGAACCGACGCACTTCTGTGAAATCATTAACTCACCTTTATTCTCAACTCAACTCTATTACACTGCGTGACTGCATCTATTGTCCCGGTTTAGCAAGAGGCTGAGGTTCCTTTCATCTCCCCCGTAGCGAGAGCCCGTTAATCCTTGCCTCGTTCACAGCTGCCCCCTTGTGGCACAAAGGGTGTACTGAAGCCGGTTTTTCCTCCTTTGTTCTCTTTTTTGCTGCCCTGGCCTGGATCCAAGGAAAATCCCTCAGATTTTGGAAAGCCGTGGAAGTAACTGGAGAAGGTACTGGAGCTGATAATCTCAGTTCTCAGCTTGGGATGACCGGCCACTCTCTGTCCAGGTCTCTGAGAATGATCCCACCTGCCCCCACCCACTGGTCCTGATGGTCTTTTTTTTTTTTTTTTTGCAGAACCCGGGATTGAACTCAGACCTTTGCGCTTGCCAGGGAAGCGCTTATTTCACTGAGCCATCTCCCCGGCTCCCTGATGGTCTTTAAATCATCTTGTCTGATGCTTCTCTCCCAAGGCTGCACAAGAGAATCACCCGCACAGCAGTTAAAAACCCTGTTTTTCTTTTTTTTGGCAGAACCAGGGATTGAACTCAGGCCCTTGTGCTTGCCAGGAAAGCACTTATTCTACTGAGCCATCTCCCCAGCCCGTGTTTTTCTAAAGCTCCCCTAACAAAGCTGGACATGGTGGTGCACCCCAGTACTCAGGAGGATTCCCAAAAATTCAAGGCCAGCCTGGGGTTCATAGGCCATCCTGTCTCATAAACAAACAAACAAACTCCCAAGGATTCCAAAGTAGAGGACTGTCTGGATGTGCCACCTCTTTTGCCATATCCCATTTTCACAACCCTTTTGTCTCTAGGTCAGCCTTCACCCTAACCCCCAAGATGACCTCACCCAAGCCTGTGCTGGCCAAGGCCTTTCCCTGGAGATGCAGGGGCCTCCACGGGTGTCGCCACTGGCTGCCTCCTGCTAGTGCCCATGCCCCTGCTCACTCCAGCTTGTCTGCCAATGTAGTCACACTTGTCTGGCTGTCTCACTTCTCTGTCTCCTGTGCATCCCTCAGGTCTTTCCCTGGCCAGGGGTTCACCTGGGTGCTGAGGGGTGGATCCAGACTGTAAATCCAGGATGGCACAGCACACTGTCCCCCAGGATCCATCAGAGCTTGGTTCTAGGACCCCTGCAGATACCAAAGTCCAGAGATGTGCAAGCCCTTTCTATAAAACAGCATAGGATTTGCATAGTCATGGGTTTTTCAGCAGCACAGTAAGGAGATGGGAAAGATAAAAGAAGCCTTTATTAACTCCAACGACATGGAGAGGATCGAGGGCAGATGGGAAAATCCTCGGGTCTGAGACAAAGAGAGCTGAGACATTGATGGACTTCTGTTCGGGGTGGAGCTTGAGGGGATGCTTAGAAATAGCTGAGGAGCTGATTGGGGTCTTTTCTGAGGTGGCAGGAGAGGTAAAAGAAATTGCACTGTGAGCTGGGTTGGAGAAGGGGAGAGGTGGTCTCTGGGATGATAAGCTGTTGTTTTAAGGGCTTCAACCATATTAGAAGACCACCATAATAATTCAGCAATCCATACTAGGGCTACAATCTATCACACATAACCTATGCACATTCTCCCAGATACTTTAAATCATCTCTAGATTATTTGCCTAATATAAGATTAATCTGCTCATCCCTGAAACAAAATACTACAGACTGTGGTTTAAACAACAGAAGTTAAAAAATAAGATAAAATAAACAACAGAAGTTTATACATTCTGATATATTGGGGGTTCAGAAGTCAGTGTGACTGGCCAGTGAGATAGTTCCGTGGTCTAAAGCGCCTGCTTAGGCAAACTTAAGCAACTGTAGGGACCACGGTTTGATCCCTCGTACCACATGCCATGGCTGAGTCAACCACAAAAAAATTAAATTAAATTTAAAAAGTCAGTGTGATGGTGCATATTTGTAATCCCAGCACTTAGGAGGCTAAGGCAGGAGCACTGAGTTTGAGACCAACCAGCCTGAATTACAGAGCAAGACTATCTCCAAAAAAATGTCAAAGTCTGGGGCCAGGGAGATAGCTCAGTGGAATAAGTGCTTGCCTGACAAATGCAAGGTCCTGAGTTCAGTCTCTGATACCACCAAAAAAAAGTCAAAGCCAATGTGTAATTTTGCAGGGACCTGAGGGCTGACAGCTCAGTGGTAGAGTACTACTAGTCTAATATGCACAAGGACCAGAGAGATAGCTCAGTAGAATAAGGCCAGCATAGAGTCCTGAGTTCAATCCCTGGTACCGCAAAATAATAGTAATAATAATATGCACAAAGCCCTGGGTTCAATCTCCAGAAACAAGATACTTCTTCTTGTGTAATTTGGTTTCCTGGAATGCTTCATTCAGGTCCTCAATGGTCATCTGATCAAACGGGATCACGTTATTCATTTTCTCCAGCTGTTTCTCATATTCCATACATGTACACCACCACTTTGGGGGGGAGGACACAGTCCAACCCATAATACTAGGCTCTTCAACTCATGCTGACAGGTCAAACAGGTTATATAGACTTATGAATTGGGCTGGGAAGATTTGGTCTTCTTTCTTTCTTTTCTTTTTTTTTGTGACAAGGTTTTGCTATGCAGTTTAGGCTGGCCTTCAACTCACAGCAATCCTCCTGCCTCAGCCTCCCAAGTGCTGGGATTACAGGTGTGCATCATCATGCTTAGCAGTCCTCTCATTGTTTTATTTTCTCATTTTTGAAAGAAAAATTGGTTAAAAAACAACTGCATTTTTCTCATTATGTTGAACACAAGAACAAGAACATTTGTTCAAGGCCATAGCCCAGATTCCCAGAACAAGCCCCTAGTACCTAGAAAGTGCTTAGTAAATATCTGTGGAGAAAGTGAGTCAGCAGAATGGCCTGGACAGTAGGGAGAAGCAGGAGCCTGGACTCCGTGAAGATGGTAGCAGGCACTCAACTCAGCCACCTGTTGCCAGGTCATTAGAATCCAGGAGATAGATAGATAGATAGATAGATAGATAGATAGATAGATAGATAGATAGATATTCTTAACATCCAGAGTGTGTGATGTAAGGACCAGAGCTTTCTCCAAGACACAATTTTATAAATTCTCAATTGGCTGATGAAGCCAGTAGGGATACTTCTTCTTGTGTAATTTGGTTTCCTGGAATGCTTCATTCAGGTCCTCAATGGTCATCTGATCAAACGGGATCATGTTATTCATTTTCTCCAGCTGTTTCTCATATTCCATAATCCGGGCCTTTCAGAGAGACACAAACTCAGCACAACTTTTCACATCTTCCTTTTCTTCAGCATCCACCAGGGCAGTACATTTATCCTCTGGCACAGGAATTTTCAGGGCATTAAACTTCTTTTCTAGTCATCCACCAAGCCTGCCTTGGCCTCATTGGCCTTGTAGTAAGCCCAGTCGATCACTGGTGGTTTCTCAGACAGAGCAGCCAACCCGGTGCTGAGGGTCTCATTCCAGGCCTTCAGAGAGCAACAGCCTTTTGGTTTCCGGGTATGATCGCCCCAAAAGCTACCCAGTCAATGGCTTCTTTCAGAGCAAGTTTGCGCCCAGCCATCTTGGGATCCTTCACCGACCCCGTGAAGCTCAGTCCCCGCAGCAAGTCGAATCCAGGCTTTAAAACCTCCACCTTTCAGGGATGGCAACTAATTCACAAAAGTTAAGGCCTTTCCGCAGACTGGTTTGTACCTACTGGGCCCCGCCCACTCTGGGCCAGCACAGCCGCACTCCCTGCTCAGCTTCCGGTCAGTTGGCGTGCGTGGGGCAGGGGCTGTGTGCCTCTACTTGCTCCCCATGACTCAGACGCTGTGCCCTGTGGTTTCCCTGCAGGAGGCTGATGTCCTGGGCGCCATGGAGAAACTGTGCCGGCAGCTGACCTACCACCTCAGCCCCCACTCGCAGTGGAGGCGGCACCGCGGGCTGGTGAAGAGGAAGCCACAGGCCTGGTGAGCGACAGTCCCTGGGACCAATCTGCCCAGCCCCCAACTCTGGACTGTGAGGCCTCCCAGGGCAGGAGAGAGAAGGGCTGGAGCCTGAGGAGGTGTCTGGGGAAGCTCCCAAAGAGGGAGATGAGGAAGAGTTGAAGGGTGGGATAAGCAGCCACAACAGGAAGAGTTTCAGGGTAGGAAAAGCAACCAAGAGCACATTCTCCTTAAGGACAGTGTTTAATTCCTTGGGTTCAAAAGAGCACCCAATGGGACCCCAGACTCTGATGTCCTCCTAAGGCAACCCAGGAAGTTGTGGCCTAGCCACATCTCTGTAGGAAAGACCTGGGAAGGGGGGAACCCTGGAAAGCAAGCTTCCTGGAGGAGAAAGCACCCTGCCTTCTTCCCAGGTGGCCTTGGGGCAGAATGGCAGGCAAGACTTTGGCGAGGCCTTGGTACTGCTACTAAATCATCCTTAGGGGTCCTGAAAATGAGGCAGGAAAGTGCTCTCCCCCTCCTTCCTAGTAAAGATTCAGCTCTGGAGCTTTCTTCCTTTCTCAAGAGGGAAGAGCATAGGAAGATGGATCCTGAGGCGGCCTTCCCAGCTAGAGAGCTAGCCCAGAGATGGGAACAAGACAGGAAACCTTGGGACCTAGTACTTCAGGGTTGAAAAGCCCAGTCTGAGCCTGTTGGCCACTTGTTTTGCCCACCCACATGTGCATGTCCAGTTTATTCTTTATTCAAGAGCCATGTAAGCACCATGGTTGGTGGCACATGCCTGTAATCCCAGCGCTCAGCAGGCTGAAACAGGAGGATCACTGGGTTTGAGGCCAGCATGGGCTACAATCAAGATCAGCCTGATCTACATAGCAGAACCCTGCCTCAAAAAGACCAAGAAAAAAAAAGTCATGTAAGCAAGGCTTCCTCATTCCCTGCAGGAGGGTTCTCATTACACTTGACAGAAATCCAGGACAGTGCTATGTGACCACCTGTTAGTTGCTCACACCTCTCTCTCCCTCACCCAAGCCATGACGACCTTCCTGCTGGTTCGTGAACATTCTGAGTCCTTTGCAGCCTCACCATCACACCTATACTCACTGCTGAAACTCCACCATGCTCCTTGATTGCCTGTGCTTTTTTGTTTGAGGCAGCTCCAGTGTTACCTCTTCAGGAAGGCCTTGCTGAAGTAGCCACACTTCTACTACAATTTCTGGTCCCCCAGTAGAGTAAAATTAAAGATCTTGTCCATCTTGCTCACCACTGGGACTCCAGTGCCTAGGACAGTACCTGGCATGTGGTAAGGGCTTAACAGTTATTGAAGAATCAAGTAGGGGAAAGCTTTGTTGCCATTTGACCAAGAATTCACAGCTGGTAAGCACTGGAGCCAACTCAAACCCGTGAATGTCTGACCCCTAAGTGGAAGCCATTAACCAGACCAGTTTCCCTTGTGTGATGCATCTGCTTTGTTAATGACACCAACAATAAAAAACAGTGCTTTAAGTTATGCTGAGCAAATGCCAGGCAGTGTTCCAAGCCATTAAATCTCCTGCCTAGAGAGCTTTCCCCTTAAATTCTCTGGGGCTGGAGCCCAGTCAGAAGCAAGCCAACTAACTCCAGCCAGCCTCCCAGCTTCAGGAGACCTCAAAGATGGAGCCTTCCCTGGCTTTACCTGAAGTCTGTGCCTCTAAAGCTGCTGGTACTAAGGAATGCACTTGAAGCGAGCTGTACACCACTCTGCTTCCGCTCTTGCCTAAGGTGGGGGCCTTAGGGTTTGTCTGGACATTTGGAATTATGAGGAATGAGTACTATGCATGGGCCTCAGGACCAACAAAGGGGTGGTAGCAGGACCACTGGCCCCAAGAGAAAGGAACAGGGGAACAGAGGAGCCAGCAGCAGCAGATGACAGTGAGTAGAAGTGGGTAGGAAACACTGAGCCTCCTAGAAGCAGTAGCTTGCACCAAGATCTGAAACCTACCCAAGGAGCCCCCACACACACCTGGTGCGGAAGACAAGTCTTGAAAGACAGACCTCTGAGATCTTTTTTTTGCCACTGCTGGGGTCAGCTCAGATGCTACTTAAGGGTAACAGAAACAGAAGCTCAACCTGTACTTATTTATCCATCCCTCATCTATAAAAGGCACTGCTCTACACATTGTCTATTCTGCCTAACTGTACACCACTAGCTCCTTTTCTGAGGTAATTAGAGGTCAGAGAAACAAAAGACTTAAGATTTATGAAGACACAAGAATCATTAAGAAAAGCCTGCCACTTTTCCTGGTAGTCTCAAAGGCTTGTCAGCCTTGGCTCTAGACCCTGACCACCCCACCCACTCAGGGTGTATTCAGATACGGTCCTGTTTCTCTTACCCCTGCACTTGCAGTTTTATCTGTAGTTTATGAAAAAAACTCCAGTCAGCTAGCTGAGCATAGGTTGGCCCCAACACCCTTAGGAGTCAGCCGCCTCAGCCACCCACAGAAAGGTAAGCCACACTCCCTTGAACCTTGCTTGTTCTTGTCCCATCTCTTCAGCCTCAAGGCTGTACTGGCTGGGAATCCTCCAGACAACACCGTGGACCTGTCCGGCATCCCACTGACATCCCGTGACCTTGAGCGTGTGACCAGCTACCTGCAGCGCTGTGGGGAGCAGGTGGACAGCGTGGAACTGGGCTTCACAGGCCTCACAGATGACATGGTCCTGCAGTTACTACCGGCTCTCAGCACTCTGCCCCGTCTCACCACACTAGCCCTCAATGGCAACAGGCTGACCCGGGCCCTGCTGCGTGACCTTACTGACACCCTGAAGGACCCCAGCAAGTTCCCAAATGTCACGTGGATAGATCTGGGCAACAATGTGGACATCTTCTCTTTGCCCCAGCCCTTCTTACTCAGCCTGAGAAAGCGTTCTCCAAAACAGGGCCACCTACCTACTATCCTGGAGCTTGGTGAGGGCCCAGGCACAGGAGAAGAGGCCCGGGAAGGGACTATGGGCCAGGACCCTGGAGGGAGCCCTGTGTCACTTGCCAAAGACCACAAGGGCAAGGCGGCCACAACTCAAACGTGACACGGAAGTGAAAAACCCCATCAGAGAATGTGGGGGGCAGGATAGCTAAGACAGGCTTGGGGTCCCCTCCCATGAGAACTCAGGCTATTGTGAAAAACCAGTCTGGGCAATTCTAACCACAAGCAAACCATGATTCCTATGAAGGGATTTCTGCACTATGTCCCTTTAGACCTCTCCCCACTGAAAATCTCAGCATATGCCTTTTGGCTGTTGAGTCATTCCCAGTTAATAACCCTCTCAGATCAGCACTTGGCCTCCCTGGGAACTGGGGGGCCAAGGAGCATAAGGCTTAAAGATGTTGGCAGCTACAGTCAATGGTAATATAGAGCATTCTCCCAGAAGTCTAGTCAGGCCCAGGGATTTTTATGTAATTCAGGCTGGGCTTGAACTCACTGCATAGCCCACGTTGGCCTCAAACTCTGTGATACTTGACAACAGCATTTTTTCCCAGCCTTTCTCATTACATTCGTCTCTCAAGTGAAAACAATAGATTTTAATATGCCCCACTCCCAGGGTTTTCTTTTCCTCAATGAATGATCCTAGTACCTCTATCTAGGCCAAGTTTGAAAGGCCTACGCCTCTTCATGAAGCGTCAACCTCCACTGCAGGCCTTCCTGTGAAAACCAGTTATCTCCACTCTGCATATAGCATCACAGATCCACACAGCAGTGGCTAGGGCAGGCCAGGTGCCACCAGAGCAAAGGTACTTGGAAACCCCAGGCCTTGGTTCAGCCTCACACATAGCCTCACTGTGAGGCTCAGTGATAGCCTAGCTTCCTTCTCAGTCAGGACAGACCTACTGGCTGGATTAGACTTTTTGACAAATTCCTTTTCCATTTAGCCCCTTAAACAAAACCCACTGCACAAGGCTCTTAAAAACCCAGGACCCCAAACATTAACCCAAAGGCCTACCAATTTTTTTATAGGCTTTCTAGACACAATCCCTACTCCAGAAAAACTGGGCACCATTCTTAAACCAAATTTATGAGGGGGTCAACAAACACCTTATGGGCAAAACAAGATATGGAGAAAACAGATTGCATCAATACAACAAGAATAGGCTTCCAGCCTCCAGCCACGATATTCTACATTAGCAGAGCAACAAGATGAGGGCTGGACAAGTCCTTACATGGTACTGGCTGAGTATGGCATGGAACCACCTCAGTCACATGCTTCAAGGGACAAAGCAGCAAGGACTGGAATCAAGTATGGATGCCTTAAGTGCTTCAGAACTGTGCCCTTGAAGCCTGCAGTTGCAATGGTGAGACTGACCAGAAGTTTACAAACTTCAATGCTAATACTGTTAACACCTACATAGTCAAACTTTTTCTTCAAATATATATTTCTAAGAATCAATACCAAAGACCACCCTTTATTTTAATAGTATGTATTGTTTTATTTGGTGCCAGAAATTGAATTCAGGGCCTCATGCTTGCCAGGCAGGCACTATGCCACTGAGCTACATCCCGGGCCCCATAATGCCATTCAATAGTAACATCTACAAGTATACATTTATCCTAAGACACAGATGCTCTTGTTTGTTGGGTAGGTTAAATACCACCACCCAATGCTGCATGCTTGTCCTAGAAAAAAATTGCCAGATACATCAGTTCTCTTGAGAAGGCCTCTGATACAGGAGGGAAGCAGCTTGTTTCTTCTGTAGCAAACGTTCCAGTCACAGAGATTGTCAAACAGAATCAACGGCAGCTTGCAGCCCTTTGCCTGGAAAGAAACTAAGTATGAGTCCCATTGTCTGCTCCCACAAGCAGTCATTCAAATCATAAAGGATACCTTCAGAAAACCGTAGGTTCACCACTACCAATCTGCCGGTAATTCCAGCTAGTTTTGGTGATTTCATCACTCGATATCCTCAAAACCAATTCTGACAAGCAGCTGAAGCTTAGTCCTCCAAGATAAATCACTGTGCTTACCTCTTCCTGGGCTGCACTGCTGCCAGCTATAGAACTGCACTCCAGCGCTGTCCCCAAACCTGGGGACACAGGACAGGGCTCCACAGCAGGAAATGCACAAGAGCGTCCACGTCTACAAGTGTAGTAAGACCATTCTATTAGTACTGTCCCTTAGAGCCTTACAGAAGGGGCACTTTCATGAATAAATTATTAAATCTACAAGCCCCAAATAACCTCCTAAATGTTACAATCTCTACCTAACAGTGCATCTTCAAAGTCACAACCTATTTTTAATTATCTAAAGAGAATACAAAATCATAATAAAAAGAATTAGAAATGATACAGAACTTCACCAAATAGGAATTCAATAATGGTTGCTGTATTGTATAATGTCTTCCAATAGGTGTTCAGATTAACAGATATATAAGCATACAAAATTGGTTAAAAAAAATTTTTTTAGGGCCAGAGAGATAGCTCAGTAGAATAAAGCGCTTGCCTGACAAGCGCAGGGTCCTGAGTTCAATGCCCGGTACTGGAAAAAAAAAAATTTTTTTTTTAAGCATCATCTGCTCTCCTTCATAGACCAGCACACAAACCTGGTGTTTGTCATGATCGAGGAAAGCTACATCTCAGGGAAGATCATTTATTTGCTCTAAATTATTATTATTACTTTGTGCATTTAGTATAGGGTATACAGGGTCTATAGGATCTCACTATGTAGATCAGACTCGTAGTGATTGTTTTCAGCCGCCCAAGAGGTGGGATTACAGGTGAGCGCCATCACACCCAGTCTCAATCTCCATCTCAGCACACCCCAGGGGCAGGGCGGGCATGGCATGGCATGACACACCAAGCCCAGGATCCACACCAAGCCAAGGATCCATGCGAGGGATCGAACCCTGGCTGCTGCACTCTGCCTAAGCAGGTGCTTTAGTCCACTGAGCTATCTGGCCAGCCCTATTTGCTCTAAATCAAATACCCAAGAAAAAGGGGAAGGAACTGCTTTCTGCCTACACATTCTTCTCAGTTCCACTGCCCAGTGAACTAGCCAGTACCTGCAGGATATCCTGACAATAAAGATCAAGGCAAGGGCCAATGATACAGCTCAGTAGACTAAGCACCTGGCTTAGACAAGTACTGGGACTGAGGTTCAGTCCCCCGGCACATGCTGTGTAGGCTCCAGCCCTGGAAACACTGAGGATGCAATACCCGGTGATCCCAGCACTGGGGAGGCTGAAGACAGGAGGATCACTACAGAGTGAAACCTGCACAGTGAGACCCTGTACCAAATACATTTAAAAAAAAAGCTTACCTGACTCGAGGCCAACACTCCACAGGCTTTGAGCAGAAGTGGTGGGCAGCACCTCTGTACACAGGCCTCATGGGTGACCCAAGAGGCCTGCAACACTAAGGTGTTGGCATCTGCCACTCTGCAACCTGCATGAATGTAGAAAGGTTGTCGCAGTTCAGACCAACTTAATCCTGAGCAACAACATCATCTGGTGCACTCGGTGACTGCAGTCAGCCAGGAGCACTTTCGTCAGGTATCGCTTCTGACAGCACTTCCTGTGATTAGTGGGATCATCAGAGCAGTCAACACTCACTGTCCCGTCATCCTTCAACTGGAGACACGGACATTACCTGAGAACAAAGTACAAGTGGAAGATGTAGCTCAGCACCAAGTTCCTGGGGGTTCTATCCTCAGTACATGTATACCCTCAAAATCACTCCCCAAAACCCACTGGACAGCTCATTTCTGCAAATGACTTAATACATGTATAACGTGTATATGAACACATGTATGTGCTCTTGCTGTACTGGGGACTGAACCCAGGGCCCCTTGCATCCCAGGCAAGCTCTTGTATTTCTTAACTACATTTGAACAAAAAAGGCATACTTAACGTGGCTCTGTTATGACTGTACCTTAAACAGCCATCTCCAGCTTCTATATTAGTTTCTACATCACTGCAAAGATACTGTGGTGTAATATTTAAACTACAACTAAAACATCCACTTCACTGCATCTCAGGTAAATTACAGCTAAGTCACTCTCTTAGGCTGCCAGAAATCGAACCCAGGGCCTCCAGTGTGCAAACCTCTTAACGCTGACCTACATCTGCATCCCCCAAAGTCACATATTAAACGCACCCGACTTCACGGTGGGATGCTGTTCTCATCGCCAATATTCTGCACTGAGGCCAACATCTGAAAGATGAAGAAAAAGAATTCGGGAGCTGAAACTGGCAGTAACGTTCAACTACTCTGTTGAGGCTATAGCGACTGTAATCAGATCAGGTATAAACATCGTCAGTTATCGCTTCTGACGGCACTTCCTATTACTCGTTCTCATCACAACAGTCGCGTGACTTCCTCGTGGTCCCATTACAATCCGTCTGCCGACAGCGCCCCTGCGTATTCCCAGCCACAGGCAGGCGTCCCCAACCTACCCAGCTTTTCAGGTTGGCGGACTCCTCGTGGAGGCGCGGCAACAGGATGCTGCTTTCCGAAAGCCCACACTCCCGCGGCGACAGCCCTGCCGAAAAACGTGCGGTCCCTGAGGCTCAACTCACAACATTCTGCGCAACGCAGCCCTACCGTAATCTGCAACACCAGACCGCCACTCTCTCTCTCCAAACACATCTTTTGTAGGAAAAAAAAGAAAAAAGTCCTAGCTTTTTTATCTGGCCACGCCGCCGTTGCTGTAGCCACACAAACACAGTTAACATCCATGCTCACTGTAGTGAAAAGGTCCTGCCTTCCTTACTCCCAGGCCGCCAGAAGTCAGAATACACCATAGCTCACAAAGGAGAGGTAGACGCAGACACAGACCACGAGAACTTCCAATGCATTTCAGGACACTCATCCCGCAACCTGGGCTTCTTCTCCCCCATCATACTGAGTTTATGGGCTCGTCCACACCGCTGCGAATTCTGGGTAAAGAAGTGCTCCGGTAATTCCGCGAGACTCGGCCCGGCTTCGAGAGGATTTTTGGATCCAAGAACTAGTGCTCTGAGTTCCGCCGCATTTATTGTGCGATTGCTAATTAGAAAATGGAGACGTGTGTTCCAGAAAGTAGTTGAGGGTTTAGCATGAAACAATACATGTGAAATGTATACGCAGGCCACACAGCAAGCTTTCCGGAATAGTTTCAGCTTAGAAATTAATTAATAAGCGAGATCTCCCCACAAGTACTTTAAAATTTCCACAGAACCTCTGCAAACTGACATCCTACGTCATCCATTCCTTGCACTGATCCTTCAAGTGCAACCAGAAGTTCTCTGGATACAATCCAGTCCCTGTTTCTCTCTGTTCTGACAAGCTGCCCTCTTACTTTTCTGTCTTGCCTTCCTGGACTCCTCTTTTCTGACCTCAGTGCAGTAATGGGGGAGAGCTCTATGGTATAGAGTTTACCTTCTCCATCACCACACCACACACACCCCCAAAAAAGAAAAGACATCAATCCATGCTTGCACATTTTGTACACAAATCTAATACCTTGGGAAAATAAGGGCCCACCCCCCCCCCCCAACCGGGGATTGAACTCAGGCCCTTGCGATTGCCAGGGAAGTGCTTATTCCACTAAGCCATCTCCCTGGCCCTTGGGAGAGTAATTTGGATTCCAGAGAACTAGAAAGAGGAAATGGTATAGGTCACCCACTAACTCCAAAAGTTAAAATTGAATTTTTTGCATGAAATTCCTATGTTACCTAGAAAAGTTCAAGGAACAAAAATTTGAAAACTTTTCATTAAGTTCCAGTTAGGTGCCCTTCCAAAAGCAGAACACTAGACATGAAAGGATTACTCTCAGAAAAAAAGGAAGATTTTTTTTTT